GGGGGGTACTTTCTTATTTACATTGTAAACTTAAGTAAATGGAGTAATATAAAAATAAATGAAAGTAAAAGGACAAAGACATTTACTTAAATGTTGGAAATGGAAATAAGGTAATCTGTACACCAGTTGAGCAAAGGGGCAATATAATGTAGCCATACCCATTACTTTTACTTATTTTATTTTTTTATGAGCACTTATAATTTTGTTTTGCATATGCATATATTTTTTTTTGTCTGATCATATACATATATATAAGCTAATATAATTTTTTTTTGGTGCCCTTCTCAATCGTGGCCCCGGGGCGGTGGCCCTGGTTGCCCTGGCCAAGGGCCGGCCCTGATGTGTACAGTTATGGCATCCTCCTCTTGGGTTGGATGAAGTATTTGTTTTAGTATGTAAACTGGACTTGGAGAGAGGGTGTTTCTTTTAATTCATTTTTTTTTTGGAATTATGAAAGTTTCACCCTTAAACCTTCTCCCTTTATATATAGAACCATATAGATATGTACCAGTAAATTTCCTGTGGAATCCCCAGTCAGCCATTGAAACAGGAACACACAAGTGTTGAACCGTTGATGAAGAATATATTACTTTTGACAACTCTACTCAAGTGAAACTGTTTTGTTGGTTTATGTTTGTCTTTTGAAGTGTGAATAAATTCAGTTATTTCTGATGTATCGAGTTTTTCTTGGGCAGAAAGCAAGACAAGACTGAAAGGGAGGGGGAAAGAGACTTGGGAGAGGTTTAGGGTGGTATGGAATTACAAATAAAACAAATGAATTTTCCCAAGTAGTGTCCAAAAAGTAAATTTCGTAAGATGGACTGACTTTTTATAAAATTGTGAATTGCGGGTAGGTCAAGCTGCCTAAATATATTATTACATGATTGAAGGGTTCAAATCAGTCAGTCCAGTAGTACTGGAGAAATGACTAGTCTTATTATGTGCACATCTCATATTGGAGATTTTAAAATAGAAATTTCGTAGAATCATAGAACGATCAATAAATTTGATGCAGGCTTGATAGGCCAAACGCTGCTTTCTTGTTATTTGACTATGCTTCACCAGTTGGATACTGAGTTCTACCTTCCATCAGTAAATACAATGAGACAGGACAAAAGTTAGAAAGAAACTCTGTTTCTAGAGGCAAGAAAGAAAAATAATTTTTCTAGCTCTTAACTGGCACCAGATGAGGTCTTAGTGTTTAGGTAACCATTTTTTATACTCATAATATATAGCTCAGGCCGGCCTCAAAAAACACTAAAAAAATTAAGACATGCAGCAAGCTCTTTGACTATAATAAGTAGGTACCTCACTCAAGTGCTATACACAGCCATTGGAAATTTTGTAAGCAACTAAAGTTTCAGAAAACAGATTTTATGGAGCTTTATTGTTTCAATTCGGCTGCGTTTCTCTCATGTTTTTGCATGCATGCTTTTATTCTTTACTCATGCATTGGTTTGACACACAGCGGAAATGATACAGATCGACTGGCCTTGCTTGAAGTCAAGGCTTCGATAACCCATGACCCTTTTGGAGTTCTGACTACATGGAATGAAACCATCCACTTTTGCCGTTGGCATGGAGTTACTTGTGGACGTCGTCACCAAAGGGTTACAAGGTTGGACCTGCAGTCCTTGGAACTTGCAGGCTCTATATCACCACATGTTGGAAACTTGAGTTTTTTGAGAGAGATTTATCTCCAGAACAACAGCTTGAGCAGTGAAATCCCTCAGGAAATCGGCCGTCTGAGCAGATTGCAAAATCTACAATTGGAGAATAATTCACTGAGTGGTGAGATTCCCTCGAACTTATCAGGTTGCTCTCAGCTCCTAATACTTTTTCTTGGTTTCAATTTTCTGGTAGGAAGGATTCCTGAGGAGCTTGGCACCTTGTCAAAGCTAAGAGTACTTGCAATTCACCGAAACAACCTCACAGGAGCTGTCCCTCACACCTTAAGCAACTTATCATCTCTTGAATCCCTTTCGGCATCTTCTAATAATTTGAATGGGACTGTTCCTGATTTTTTTGGTCATCTGACCAATATTACATATCTTGCTTTGAGCGAAAATACATTGTCTGGTATGATCCCTCCCTCAATCTTCAATATCTCTTCTATAAGATTATTTTCTGTGGTTGGAAACAGCATTCAAGGGACTCTGCCCTCAAACTTAGGTACTACTTTTCCAAGACTCGAATATTTTCTTATTGATAATAACCAATTCGGTGGATTTATTCCTGTTTCAATATCCAATGCCTCAAATATAGTGGAGCTTGGAATGTCAGGAAACCAACTACATGGAACAGTCCCTTCGTTGATAAAATTATCTAGGCTTGAGAAACTAGTTCTCGGTATAAACCATCTTGGAAGTGGGGGGGTTGGTGACTTAAGCTTTTTCTGCGATTTGACTAATGCCACCAGTTTACAAGTACTGCAAATCAATAAAAATAATTTTGGAGGCATGTTACCTCAATGCACAGCTAATCTATCTTCTTCTCTTGAATTATTCTTTGTATCTGCGAATAAACTGTTTGGAAGAATCCCATACGGGATTGGAAATTTGCTCAACCTGTGGAACCTACGGCTGTCTGCAAACCAATTTTCCGGTTACATCCCCCTTGATCTAGGAAAGCTTCAGAAATTATATGAATTAGATATGGCAATGAACTCTTTTGCTGGGAATGTTCCATCCTCTTTGGGAAATTTAACTCAGTTAACGAAATTATATTTGTCTTACAACAACCTTCAAGGCAATATCCCTTCCAGCTTAGCGAAGTGTTCTCATTTGATGATCTTATCTCTTGGTTATAACGATCTCAGCGGTTTCATACCCCAAGAAGTCATTGCTAAGTCATCTTCAATTGTTGCTCTTTCCTTAAACAACAATCGTTTTTCTGGTTCCCTTCCCCAGGAAGTGGGAAATTTAATAAACCTGGAGTATTTATTTGTTTCCGAAAACATGTTATCTGGTAAAATTCCTGCAAATCTTGGTCAGTGTGTAAGGTTAGAATATCTAGAAATGCAGAGAAACTTCTTCCAAGGGGAAATTCCATCATCTTTGAGTTCACTAAGAGGTATTATAGAAGTACATCTTTCTCAGAATAACTTGTCAGGCACGATTCCAGAATTCTTGGCGCGTTTCAAATTTCTGCAGTATTTGAATCTATCTAATAACAATTTTGAGGGGATTGTGCCAATCGAAGGAGTTTTCAAGAATGCAACTATGACATCAGTCAAAGGAAATAGTAAACTTTGTGGGGGTATACCTGAGTTTCAATTGCCAAAATGCAAACCTCAACATTCCAACAAGAGAAGATTGAGCACAACCTTGAAACTCATCATATGTCTCACTGGTGGGCTTCTTGGAGTCACTTTTGCACTCGCCTCTCTCTACCTTTGTTTCTTTAAGAGAAAACGAAAGGTGCATACCTCAAGTGATTCAGAAAGATTTCTCAAGGTTTCTTACCGAAGTCTTCTGAAGGCTACCGATGGATTCTCCTCTGCCAACTTGCTTGGGACAGGCAGTTTTGGGTCTGTCTATAAAGGGTTACTTGAGTATGGTGAAACAACTGTTGCCATCAAGGTACTCAACCTGGTTCGTTCTGGTGCTTCCAAAAGTTTCTTTGCAGAATGTGAGGCCTTGAAAAATATTAGACATCGTAATCTTGTGAAGGTACTCTCTGTATGTTCAGGTTCTGATTATCGTGGTTTTGACTTCAAGGCCTTAGTTTATGAGTTCATGGTTAATGGGAGCTTAGACGCATGGTTGCATCCAACTCCCACAGTTGGTGAGACAAATCAGCGGTCAAGGAGTTTAACTCTTTCTCAGAGGTTGAACATTGCTATTGATGTTGCTATGGCATTGGAATATCTCCATCATCAATGCGAAGTGCCAATAGTTCATTGCGACGTCAAGCCAAGCAACGTTCTTCTCAATGCTGATATGATTGGACATCTAGGTGACTTTGGATTGGCAAGATTCCTTCCTAGAGCTGCTAAAAACTTTTCCGGTAATCAATCAAGCTCCGTTGGAGTAAAAGGAACAATTGGTTATACTCCTCCAGGTGATTACTTTCTTTAACAATTCCCTATATTTTTCTGAATATTCATTTTAATAGTTTGAAGCTTGAAAGTAGAAATAAGAATACGGTGTTTGATAAATGCAAATGCAGAGTATGGCATGGGACATGAAGTGTGGACAAAAGGTGATACGTACAGTTACGGCATCCTCTTATTGGAAATGTTTACAGGTAAAACACCAACCGATATCATGTTTCAAGGAACTTCGAACCTTCCTAACTTTGTCAAGGCAGCTCTGCCTCATCATGTGGTAGAGGTTCTGGATCCCATTCTTTGTCATGAAAAAGAGGAACGGGAGGTGAGCACAAATAATGCTTCTTGTGAGGATAGCTTAAGGGTTCACAACAAAATGGAAGAAAGCTTGATTTCCATTTTAGAAATTGGAGTTGCTTGCTCTGCGGAACTGCAGAGGGAACGATTGGACATTTGTGATGTTGTGACTGGGATGTGTCTGATTAGAAACAAACTTAGGGCATATAGAATATGTGAATAGAACCATATTTTTTGTTATCTGCTGTATTGAATGTAATTTTTATTGCTTTCTTATGTGAAATAAGTTTTCATTTAATCTTCTTAGTTTGGATTTGCATATGTTTTAGAGATTCGTCAACGCCAGCAAATCTTGCTCTCTCTGATCAGCTTAATTTTCTTAGCTGTGATTTGCATATGCTGTCAGCTCGATCATCGTCCCTCATAGTCCCAAATTCTTCTGACAAACCCATTATTCTGTTCGTTATAAAATTTATAAAAAAACCCATTAATCTCAAAAAAACTCCGAACATATGACATCATGAACCACTGAATGATTTTGTATGGGCGATCCAAATGACATCGTAATCACACTCTGCTCACACGCAAAGAAAAGCATGCTATTGGTGACTATTATGGGACTTTACAGCTGTACGTTCATACACAATTTCTCGTCAACTTTGACATACTACAAGTTGAGCCCATTTTTAAATGTGTGGATATAATTGTTCGCGGAACCATAGAAAATGTGAATTTAAATTATAATAATTCTCAACAAAATTATAATGTACAACAAATTTACATGGAATTAAAGTAAATTAACAAACAAAAATGTGTAGAAATATTGACAACTTTATCGATTGAGGCTTGCAAGAAGTGCAATGTCCTAAAGACAGATTTTGCCCCTATTCTTGTGCTCGCAGTTCTATAGACGTCTATCTCCTAACATTCAACATTCGATAATCCTAAATTTAAGTACTTCAATTTAAGACATTTACGAACCAATTATGTATTTGTACTCTCAAGACAAAAACTAGGAAGAATTTAACAATAGCGTACGGGGATACCAAGCACAAACCTTAGTACAGCCTCACCTGGGCACTTCTATTTTTTTACAGCTCAAAGTAAATTTTAGCCCTCCTCAATCTTTGAAAAAAAGACGTTGCCTCTTCACACACACAAAAAAAAAGTATTTAACATGTAAATTTTGTTTATTTTAATATAAAATAAAATTCACTTATACCGTTGAGTTTAACGTGAAATTTTTTCGTACCGTCAAGTTTAACATGTAAATTTTGCTTACTCAACTTTCGACTCCTGAAGTCGCCACTGGCCTTGCTGCTCCTGCAAACTCTGCTCCTCCTCTTGATAATGTAGCCCGACACAATTTGGAATCTTGGGCCATTCCTGGGGGATACTCTTTGCTTTTCACGGGTAAGAACTCTCTTCATTCTATATATAGGCGAGGGTGTTTGGTTTATATAAAACTCATTACACCTCTTGTTGAAACATAAGTAACTTTTCATTTGAAACAATACCACTTGATCATTTGAATCCCACTATTTAATTATATATTAATAACTGTACTTTAAAGAATAATCAAGTGCAAAACAAATACTAAGACAGACACTTATTTTTCATTCACTATAGAAATTAGATATTATCAGATTACATGTGAACATGCATGGCTGTACAACATTGAATTCCAAACACATAACATCATGGACATGGGCACCTCGTAGAACCATTGAATGATTTTGTATGGGCGACCCACATTGAATTCCAAACACATAACATCATGGACATGGGCACCTCGTAGAACCATTGAATGATATTGTATGGGCGACCCAAACGACATCGTATTCACACTGTGCTCACACGCAAAGATAAGCATGCCATTTGCTGCTTATCCTCAAGTGGACTGTCAACTTTGACAGACTAAAAGTTTGCAACTTGAGCCCATTTTTACATGTGGATATAATCAGATTGCATGTAGACATGCATGGCTGTACAGTATTGAATTCCAAGTGGCTCTGCTTATAAATTGGATTGTCATCAAGCGGCTAAACAAGGCAACCACTGCTTAGCCAAATTTAAAGTTGATGGGGATTTACAAGTTCTTTCCCTCATTCTCAGTTGTGTTTTTCTCATCTTTGTGCATGCATGCTGTTATTCTTAACTCATGTCTTTCTTTTTCCTTGAGTACTGAAAGTGATGAGACGGATAGTCTGGCCTTGCTTCAAATCAAGGATAGTATAACTGATGACCCTTCAGGAGTCATGGCTTCATGGAACGAAACTGTCCAGTTTTGCCATTGGCGGGGTGTCACGTGTGGTCGTCGTCACCAGAGGATCACCGGGCTGAACCTGGAGTCCTTGAACCTTACAGGATCCATATCACCACATGTCGGGAATCTGAGTTTTCTGAGAGTCCTTAATCTCCAAAACAACAGCTTCAGCCATGAAATCCCACCAGAAATCGGCCGTCTGCACAGATTGCAAGATTTACTATTGAACAATAATTCACTTGGTGGTGAAATTCCCTCCAACTTGTCAGCTTGCTCACAACTACTCCAAATTGATCTCGGTCACAATTCACTGGTAGGAAGAATTCCTGAAGAGCTTGGCACCATGTCAAAGCTAAGAATACTTGTAATTCGCTACAACAACCTCAGAGGAAGTGTCCCATACTCCTTCAGAAACTTATCAACTCTTGAGCTGCTTTCTTTATCTTCTAATTATTTGAATGGGAGCATTCCAGATATTTTCAGCCAGCTGAAGGAATTAACAGATATTCGATTAGCGGACAATTCTCTGTCTGGTATGATTCCACCCTCCATGTTCAATCTGTCTTCTCTCATAAGATTTTCTCTGCAACTAAATGAAATCCAAGGTACTTTTCCCTCAAACTTAGGAATTTTTTCTCCAAGTCTCCAGTATTTTGATATTGCTTCTAACCAATTTAGTGGAACTATCCCAGTATCAATATCTAATGCCTCAAGTCTAGGTCATCTAGGAATGCAAGGAAACAGCCTACATGGTAAAGTCCCATCTTTGGCAAATTTGCATAAGCTCGAGAGATTTTCTCTAACCTCTAACAATCTAGGAAGTGGGGGACTTAATGACTTGAGCTTTATCTGTGATTTGACTAGAGCCACCAATTTAAAACACCTAGGCATTAATATGAACAATTTTGGGGGTGTCTTACCTGAATGCACAGCAAACTTGTCTTCTTCTCTTGCACGGTTCTACGTAAGTGACAATAAATTAGTAGGAAGACTCCCAAATGGGATTGGAAATTTAGTTAACTTGTTGAGCCTATATCTGTCTATGAACCAATTTTCTGGTGAAATCCCTCCTGATCTAGGCAAGCTTCAAAACTTATATCAATTAGATTTAGCTATAAACTCTCTTTCTGGTGAAATTCCTTCCTCTTTCGGAAACTTAAGTCAATTAACTAAATTATTTTTGGATGACAATAACCTTCAAGGAAATTTACCTTTAAGTTTAGGAGACTGTCCCAATTTGGAAATCTTGTCTGTTCCAAGAAACAATCTCAGCGGTATCATTTCCCCAAAAATCATCGGTCTATCATCTTCATATATTTTTTTGGATTTATCTCGAAATCGTTTCACCGGTCCCTTTCCTCAGGAAGTAGGAAAACTTATAAATCTTGAGTATTTAGATATTTCCGAAAATATGTTTTCTGGTAAAATTCCATCAGGTCTTGGTAGCTGCATAAAAGTAGAAAAACTACACATGCAAGGAAACTTCTTCCAAGAAACAATTCCATTGTCTTTGGCTTCTCTAAGAGGTATTCAAGAATTAAACCTTTCTCGCAACAACTTGTCTGGAAAGATTCCAGAGTTCTTGGAGAGCTTTCAACTTCTCCAATCTTTGAATCTGTCGGATAATAATTTTGAGGGCATGGTGCCAACCAAAGGAGTTTTTACAAATGCAACTGCCACATCAGTTAGAGGAAACAGTAATCTTTGCGGGGGCCCACTTGAGTTTCATTTGCCAAAATGCAAATTCAAACAACAGAAAAAGGGAGGATTAAGCCTAACCTTGAAATTCATAATCTCTATTGGTTGTGCTCTTCTTGGAGGAACTTTTGCATTTACTTTTTTGTACCATTGTTGTGTAAGGAGGGACATAAAGGATGATAGCTCTAGTGGTTCAGAAAAATTTCTACGGTTATCTTACCAAAGTCTTCTAAAAGCTACCGACGGATTCTCCTCTTCCAATTTGATTGGTGCGGGCAGTTTTGGATCCGTGTACAAAGGATCACTTGACCAAGGTGAAACAACAATTGCTGTCAAGGTACTCAACCTTGTTCATCCTGGAGCTTCAAAAAGTTTCAGCGCTGAGTGTGAGGCCTTGAAAAACATTAGACACCGTAATCTTGTGAAGGTAATCTCTGCCTGTTCTGGTGTTGATTATCATGGTCATGACTTCAAGGCCTTAATTTATGAGTACATGGTTAATGGGAGCTTAGACGAGTGGTTGCATCAAGCTCCCACAGTTGGTGAGACAAATGAAAGCCCGAGGAGTCTAACTTTTTCTCAGAGGTTGAACATTGCTATCGATGTCGCTATGGCATTGGATTATCTCCATCATCAATGTGAAACGCCAATAGTTCACTGCGACCTCAAGCCAAGCAATGTTCTTCTCAACGATGATATGATTGGACATGTTGGCGACTTTGGGTTGGTAAGATTCCTCCTGAAACTTCCTGATAGCTGTTCTGGTAATCAGTCAAGTTCCCTTGGAGTAAAAGGAACATTTGGTTACACTCCTCCAGGTGAATACTCTTTAATTAATGATTTCCCAAATCTCTCATGATTCGTTTAACTTAATTGTTTGAACATGAATATTGTGTTTTGAGCGCTTAGAATTTATCTGATGTTTTAGATTGTGTAAATGCAGAGTATGGTATGGGAAATGAAGTCTGGACACAAGGTGATGTGTATAGTTATGGCGTCCTACTGTTGGAATTGTTTACGAGAAAAAGGCCAACAGATGAGATATTTCAAGGAAGTGTAAACCTTCATAATTTTGTCAAGACTGCTTTGCCTAATCAGGTTGAACAGATTGTGGATCCTGTTCTGGTTCAAGAAAGAGGGGAAGGGATCATTAGCACAGACAATAATCTTAATGGAGATAGTACAAGGGCTTTCATCAATATTCAAGAAAGCTTGATTGCCATTTTAGAAGTTGGTGTTGCTTGTTCTGCAGAGTTGCC